GATCCTCCTGACTCTGCTACCAAATAATTTGTATAGTTCAAATTATGTGTCCCCTCAAACAGGACATGGGACAATTCGGTATTACTTCCAGGTGCTACCAATTGTGGTGCCCAGGCAGTGGCGTACACACAACCCATGGGGCCCCGGTGCAAAAACTGATCCGTGGGCCCCCCCCCGCGCGCGCCTACTCTGCGCGAGCTGGAGCCACAACACATGGCGGCGGGCACCTGGTCGCAGGGGTCGCAGGGCTGTGACCCCTGCGACCGTGGTATGCACTTCAGTGCATGCAGATACACATACACTTAAAGGAACACTACAGACACCCAGATCACATCAGCTCAATGAAGTGGTCTGGGTGCCAGGTCCCTTTAGTTTTAACCCTGCAGCTGAAAACATAGCAGTTTCAGAGAAACTGCTATGTTTCACTGAGGGTTAATCCAGCCTCTAGTGGCTGTCTCATTGACAGCCGCTAGAGGAGCTTCCGCGATTCTCACTGTGAAAAAAAAAAATTGAGTAATGCTTTCCTATGGGCGGTTTGAATGCGTTCGCAGCTCTTGCCATGCATGTGCATTCGGAGCTGAGAGGCAGATCGGGGCGGAGAGATCCCCAGCGCCAAGGGAGTCCGGCGCTGGAGAAAGGTAAGTGCTTAAGACACACACACACTCTTACGAACAGACGCATACACACTAGCTAGCAGACACACACATTTACTGACAGACATACACTCAGTGACAGACATACATACACACTCACTGACAGACGCTCACAAACTAACACACTCAGTAACAGACACACACAGTAACACACTCACTGACACACTCTAACACTAACACACACACCCACTAACACACACACTAACACAGACACACTAACACACACACTCTAACACTAACACACACTCTAACACACACACACACACACACACACGTTTAAAAAAAAAAAAAATTAATCCCCCCAGCCTCCTTACCTGTGGGAGAGCTGAGGGGATTCCCTGGGGTCCAGTGGTGTCACCCGGCAGGCACGCGAGGGAGCACTCTCCCCTGAGTGCTCCCTGTTCCGCTCCCTCGCGCGCCGCATACTGATGCCGGAGCCGGAAAGATGACGTCATATTCCGGCTCCGGTATCAGTGCGGTGAGCGAGAGAGCTGAAGAGGAAGCACACAGGGGAGAGTGCTCCCTCGCGCTCCCGTAAGCCAGCCGGGTGACACCAGGGCCAGCCTCTGGGGGCCTTGAGGTGGCCGGCTCCTGGGCCCCCCAGGAGAAGAGGCTGGCCACAGTGGCATACATACCGGGTCACAGGGCAGCCGGGCCCCCTGGTGGTATGTACGCTACTTTGCCCAGGTTATAATTAAAAGCCTTACAAAATGCATGTACTTGTTGTACAGGGTATGGCCTTTTACCAAGAGATACTAGGCATGTCCTAATTTGGTCAACATTTAGACAGGGTCAAGGCCTTCACTCCCTCTCATTGTTCTGTTATGCAACCAGGCTTTATATATACAAGCGTAGACCCCACCAGAACCAAATAATAGGTAGAGATTGAATCCCGCAATCCCACAATCTTGAATATTGCATTCAAAATTACCAAGGGTATTGCTTAGAGTAAAATGCTCAATCATATTGTACAACATTCTCTCTGAGGAAAAAGTATCTCAGATCAATCTTTCAATATTTCTCATATTTTATGTAATATATCCTTTCCGCCAAGAGTGGTGGTCAGTGCATTTAAGAGTCTAAAACAATTGGGCAGTCAAGGTATTAGGATCCAAATAAACAGAATGGGGTAACCTCCTGTTATCCCTTAGGGACCCTGTCTATCACTTACAGTTGAGGTGGCTCGAGTCACTCACACAAACAAAACATGGTATAGGACCTTGTAATGCCAAGAAGGAGGTTACCTCACAAAGTACCACCTATACTCTGTAGGTCCAAAATAAATAATATTACCGTTTGTTTGTTTTTTGTTTTTCTCTTATGAGAAAGGGATATAGGGACCTCTGCGGTTAGAAATGAATGGACAGATATTTAAAAGGCAACATCTTAAAGTATCCATCTGTGTGAAATATTATTGAGGTGGTACATTAAGCCTATCAAGGTATTTCACATGGAGTCCATCCCATCCAATCTTTTTCATTTTTTATTTTTTTTTAATACCGGCATCCCAGAGAATATGGACACAGAGAGAATAACCCAGGATAATGGTACTTAGGTCCAAGGGCAGGTCACTTCTCCCACAAGATTTGGGATTATTGTTAGGCATACAAGTCCAAGTAATATTTATTAAAGCACTCGAGTATCATTATTTAATGACCAAAATTGTGATTAATGGAAACAGAGGAAATGCCCAAAGACATACAAACATGCACACTATATGAAACAAAGATTGAACCACAGCATATATTTTCATACTCACACATAAACTATTTATTTTTACCAGTATAGTAATAACTCCATTTTCAATAGGGATGCCTATAATTTGTACTTATTACAGGCAAAGCACAAAAGCACACATTTAATGAAGCCCAGCCACACATATTTTGAAATACCTCTCTCTAACACGAAAAGCATAATAAAAAGGCTGTTATAGCGTAAAGAGAGTCTTAACTGAAACTACATTGCCATCTGATAAAAAATATTGCATATCAATTTCTAAATCACATATACTTATATCACATACAAAGAGTCAATATAAATACAGTCTGCAAACTAAGAAAAACATTTACAATGCACAAAACTGAATAAGAGAAAATCTGTGACTGGACACGAAAAGACTTAAAATGTTGTCCAAATGACAAAGTAATTAGCTCTCCATCATTAACTTACCACTCTCTTATTTGAGCCAAGGCGGTCATTAATGTCCTCGTGAGGTTTTGAAAGGAGATCTCTGAAGTTAAAAGTTTTTCTGGACAAGCCCAGACATGAATAACAGTGAGAATACCTCCCCTTGGAGCAATAGGAATGTAATTTGTAACACAGAAATGGACTTGTTTGTCCATCTAGTTTACCAGGGACTATAATTAGCTGCTGGTTTTATTTGTTGTTTGTATTGCATCATTGTTTGCTCACACATTCATTGTTGTCTCTCAGAAGAGACAATTAAAGACCAAATCCAAATTAAAAAACAAATGCAAAAATTTATACCAAAGTCTCAAAGATTTGGAAATATAACCAACTCAAGAAGTCACAGGTTTTTGTATTTATAATGCTATTCGGATTTTAATTCACTGAAATTCAGATTTTAATGAATAATCAGTAAATGTTTCTATCCCAATTACATATCTCCCAACATGTGGCCTTGGCAAGTCGGGAGGCATGGGCAGAATCCTGAGAGGGCATTGACGCAAGCCTCATCACTAGAGACTACCACAATCGGTAGGGCTATCTCATGTAAAAAGAGAGCAGGCCATCCCAGAAAAGGAGTGGGCTTGCCACCTGATAGGCAGCCTGGCAGGCTCCACCTATCAGGATCACGCAGGGAGCACTCCCTACATGGTCCCAGTGCTTGCAATAGGGCACAAACATGTCTAACGACATGTGCCACTGATGAGTGACACCAGAGAACTAAAGCAGGATGATGTGACAGCATCCCAAAAACAGGGCTGTCCCACCAAAAGTGGGACAGTTGGAAGGCATGTAACAGTAGCAAAAAACAATTATTATTTTTTTTTAATTCTTTATTTTTGCAGTGCATTTGAAAGAACAACGCGCATGTGGTACCCCAACGGCAATCCTCATGCTTTGTCATAAATATTCATAACAGTAAGGGGTATGTTAGTACATGAACAATTTTATGGTTAATATACGTTCAGCAGTGTTATTCTTGATTTAGTGTCTATTGCGTGTAGAGCATTGACAAAACATGCGTGGACAAGGTTACATGAAAAGCTGGAAAAACATGAAAAGTCAGAGTATTTAGTAGTCTAGTATCAGGCTAGCTCTGCATCCTTTGTAGCCCATGGAGCAACGCAGTGTGGGGAGTGGGCCCTGACAGCGCCAGGGAGTGGGCATGGGCTTAGGTTTGTGGGCCGGGTTTAGGGAGTGGAGTTTGGGGGGGTGGAGAGTAGGAGTATAAGGAGCAGCCATGTTAGAATAGGGGCCATTTTAACCGGAGCCTCTCTTACCTGTAGATTGTTGCAGGTCAGCGAGGTTCATTTTTTCTTTGTCTTTCTGCAGGTCCATGGCGGCGTTGGAAGAGCTCCTGGAGGGAGTTCGGGCAGCTGTGAGGGACCGTGGACTTGAGTGGCTGCATCAACAGCTGGGGGCAGCCGGGCCTTCCCCCACGGTACCGGCTCGCCGACCAGCCCGGAGGACGAGACCGCCGCAGCGGTTGAGCCCGGGCGCAGGGCCCGCGGCGAGACGCCGAAGAAGCCCTTCAGCGGGAAGAGGAGTGTCCACGGGGGCAGGAGAGGTCCCGGTCGTGGAGCCGGGTAGGAGCACGGCTCAGGCTGGCGGGCACGGCAGCGGTCTGGCGAGGACGGCCGTAAAGCACCCGGCGGCCGGACGACGCACGCCGCGCGGGTCAGTGGCAGACAGGGGAGATGGAGCGGCAGCTTCCCATGATGCAGCCTGGTCGGCGGCCAGGGCAGAGGACGGCCACGTGAGCGGGAGTGTGGGGCCTGAACTGTTGGCACCGCTGTGGGTCAGGGAAATGTTGATAATGGGGGAATGGGGGCACGAACAGCTACCCATGTGTCTGGGGGAGGCTGGGACGGCGAGGTCAGCGCAGGGACGGCCCAGGCAGGGGCCAGGAGGGAGGATGGCAGTGGTGGCATGAGCGCACAGGAGACAGCTGGATCAGGGCGCACGGCGATCAGCCAGGGCATGGGTTCATTGACAGGAAGAGTGGCTGGAGGGAAGCCAGGCGCAGCAGTGGTGGGAGACAGGAGAAGAGCCACCCAGGTTGGAGGTGACAGGGGTGGTGGCAGCAGACGGGAGGGTCCTTCTGGCTGCTCCCTGGGTCAGCATACGGACGGGGAGGACGCAAGGAGAGAGAGGAGAGCAGAACGGCGCTGTGCGAGCGTCAGGCGCAGCAGCACGAGGAGCAGAGCAGGGAGTCAAGGAAGCGGTGAGAGGTCACCGGCGCGGAGCAGATGCAGCGCAGCTAGGTCCTGTTGCAGGGAAGACTGCGGGAGGTCCACGTCTAGGGATAGAACGCAGAGGAGTCAGCGTAGCACATCTGGTTCGCCAGAAAGGAGATTCCAGGTTCAATCGAGGGGAGCAGATTACAGGGGGAGTCGTCTTGCGAGGCGGATGGAACGTGGGGAGGAAGGGCGGGTAGACCCTACACTGAACAGACTACCCAGGATTTCTTCTCCCTACAGGTCACGGAGCAATACCCCTACAGTCTCGAGGCGGGACCAGGCGGATGGGAGCGACAACAAGACACTCCGGTACCTGTAAAGGTGGACGGAAGGATGGCGCCCCTGCGGCCAGCTGCGGCCAGGGGCTTGAGCGGTGAGTCCACACATGCACGACACTCTGGACAGTTGTTAAGTGATTTAAAAACATTTTTTGAATCTTGGTCGGATAAGGGTGGGTCGCCCCTGGAATTCGGGCGGGTATGGTCGCGGGAAGGTAGTCGGGACAAGGCGATTGAGCGCGCGGGGGCGTTACCGACAGGGTCATACGGAGGCGAGGCCGTCGACGCGACGGGGTCGTCGGGGATGGCCGACGGTGGGGGGGAGCACGCGGAAGTGGGTAGTGATATCCCGGATGCGGCGCGGCAAAACGTGCACGTGTCCTTCGCGGGCCCCCTGGGATGCCACTTAAAAGCAGACGTAAAAGATAAGATTTGGAAAGGTGAGTTTGTAGAGATCTTTTCCCTTCTCCCCCTCGAGGAATTCTTGGACTTGAAAGAGGAGGATAAGAAAGATGCCAAGAAAGAGGAGGAGGAAAAAAATCGGAGGTATCGCAAGATACCGAAAACTTTTGGGAATTGGCTACGGGCCTTCTGTATTCTGGCAAGCGTTATAGGGGAAAGGAACCCGGGTCGTTGTTCGGAACTTTTTTGTTACTTGGATGGGATAGGTGATGCATATCGAACCTACGGAGGATTGGCGTGGTGGAGGTATGATGAACAATTTCGCCAACGGCTAGTGGTGAATACAAGCATGCGGTGGGACCAAATGGATCTGCCGTTATGGATGCGCCTTATGATGGCGCAAAAGGCTGCGCCCTTTCTTAGGACAGCCGGCACAGCCACAGGAGGTGCCGTGTCGGCTGGGCAAAAGAAAGGCTTCTGCTGGATGTACAACGAGGGACACTGCAAGTGGGGGAATTCCTGCAGGTTCCGACATGAGTGTTCCGGCTGCGGGGGGGCTCATGGCGCCAGCCGATGCTTCAAGAAAGGTAAGCTTGGAGGGGGAGGGGGGTCCGTGGGGGCAGCGCCCCCCGCTGCTACAGCTGGGGGCGTCCCCAGTGAAAATAGACGTGATGTTACCTTGGCTAAGGCAGTACGCTAATAGGGCGGATGCAGCCTTTTTGTGGCAGGGATTTAGGGAAGGATTTGTTATTCCCTTCGTGGTTAGGGGACCGGGTACGATGTGTGGTAATCTCAAGTCAGTTCGGGAGCACCCAGAGGTAGCGCGGGATAAGTTGAGCAAAGAAGTGCAGCTGGGGAGGATGGCGGGCCCATTCTTGGAGCCACCATTGGCCGATCTACGGATATCCCCACTCAGTGTGGTTCCCAAGAAGGAGGCGGGTAAGTTTAGGTTGATACATCATTTATCGTACCCAAAAGGGGCATCGGTAAATGATGACATTGACACGGCCCTCAGCTCCGTCTCTTATACATCATTCGACAAGGCTGTCGAGTTGGTCCGGAGAATGGGGCATGGTGCGCTGATGGCGAAGGTAGATGTGGAAGCAGCCTTCAGGATCTGTGTTTACCAATGGGTTGTTCCATATCGTGCGCCTATTTTGAAAAATTTAGTACGTTTTTGGAATGGGTGGTACGGAAGGAATCGGCAGGGGGCGCGGTGGTGCACTATCTTGATGACTTCCTCTGCGTCGGTCCGCGGGAATCGGGCCGGTGTAGGCAAGTTTTGGAAGTGTTTCAATGGGTCGCACACTCTTTCGGGGTTCCCTTGGCGGGAGACAAGACGGTTGGGCCCACGACGTGCCTTAGTTTTTTGGGTTTGGAAATCGATTCCGAAAGAGGGGAATGTCGGTTACCTTTAGACAAACTAGCGGGTCTGAAGGAGCGGGTGGCCACGGTAGGGAGGGCTAAGAAACTTTGCGTGCCGGGTTATACCAATGGGGAGGGTTTTTTGTAGGCGGCTGGCACGAGCGACAAGCGGGGTGCGTATGCCGTCGCACTACATCAGGGTATCAGCGGATATGAAGGCGGACTTAAGGGTGTGGGACCAGTTCTTACGGGATTTTAATGGGAAGGTGTTTTTCAGGGAACCCGCGGCGGCGGCGGAAGAGGTGGGGCTATACACCGACGCTTCGGGCAGTGTCGGTTTTGGGGCTTATCTGGCGGGTAATTGGTGTGCTGAGGAATGGCCTGCAGCGTGGAAAGAAAGCCCGCTAATAAGAAATTTGGCGTTTCTGGAATTATTTCCGGTCGTAGTGGCGGTGGGATTATGGGGGCCGGCGTTGGCGAACAGGCAAATCGTGTTCCACTCGGATAACATGGCGGTGGTGCAGGCGATCAACAGTTTGTCTGCATCTTCCCCCCCGGTCTTATGTTTGTTGCGGCGGTTTGTACTTCTCTGCATGTCCTTCAACTTGGTATTTAGGGCTAAGCACATCCCTGGTTTGTTGAATGTGGTGGCTGATGCGCTTTCTCGTTTTCAGTGTGAACGATTCCGGGAAGCGGCGCCGGACGCTCAGGAGATGGGGCAGGCTTGCCCAGACGAGATGTGGCGGCTCGGGACGTCATGCTTGGGGAGTATATAAGGAACTCGTTAGCGCCAAGCACGTGGTCGTCTTACGTTAAGGTTTGGAAGGAATGGGAGGAGACAGTTCAACAGGTAGGAGGCGTTTCTTCGGCGGGTCAGCGGGTGGATGTGCTTCTATGGCTGCTGTGTCGCTTGTTCTCAAGGCAGGCTTCACCGGCCATGGTAGACAGGTATATGTCTGCCTTGGCCTTTTTATTTAAGTTCAATGGGTGGGATGACATCACGAAGAATTTCGTGATACGACAGGCGATACGAGGTTTTCGGAAGGGTAAGAAGTTCGGGGACACGAGAAGACCGGTGTCGTTCTCGGTGTTGCAAGGGCTGTTAGGAACGTTGGCTGGGTTGTGTCATTCTCCTTTTGAGGTGGCGCTATTTTCGGGAGCGTTTGTATGGGCGTTCTTCGGAGCCTTCCGAATTGGTGAGCTGGTTAGCACCAACAAGAAGGGGGTCGGCGGATTGCTGCTCGAGGATGTGGACATATGCAACGACAGGGTGCAGATCAGGTTGCGCCGCTCTAAAACGGACGTGTTCGGAAAAGGGTGCTCGGTGGTGTTGTATGAGTTACCAGGTTCAAGGGCATGCCCGGTGGCTTGCGGTGCGCGGTACTTGGAAGTCCGTCCCGGGATTGCTGGTTGTTTTTTCCTGCACGCCGATGGCACGGCTTTGTCCCGTTTCCAATTTCTACGGGTTTTTCGCGCGGGTTTACAGATGCTGGGCTTGGAGCCCAAGCAATTTGGGACGCACTCGTTACGCATAGGCGCGGCGACGGAGGCAGCACGTTTAGGTTTGGGGGACGAGCGGATTAAACAGATCGGGAGGTGGGAATCCATGCGGTTCCGCACGTATGTGAGGCCCGACAGGCTGGTGTGAGTAAGCGTTGTGTAGGAACTTGGGAAAGGGGGGAAGTTGTCTCCTTTGCAACTAATTTTGTTTCTTTTCAGGTTTGAAAGTTTGGTTGATGGGACACTCGTATGTGTACTGGGCACAGAAGAGAGCCGCAGTTCGAAGATGCGGATCGCAGCTGGGCTTTCCGTTGGAGCGGGTGGAGTTATCATGGTTTGGTTTGAGGGGCGCTAGCTGGCAGGGTCTCTGCAGCGCATTATTTAGAAAGTTGTCTGGGGGGGCGGTCCCAGATGTGGTATTGGTTCACGGCGGGGGGAACGATCTGGGTTTGATTCCCCAAAGATTGCTGGTTTGGAAGATGAAGAGGGATATGGATCGGCTGAGGGAGCTGGTCCCTGGCGTGGTTGTAGTTTGGTCTGAGATGGTGCCTCGCTTTACGTGGAAGCACGCCAGGGATCCAGCTGCAATAGCACGATCTAGGGGTAAGGTCAACAAGATTATGGCAGTTTTTATTAGATGGTCAGGGGGCGTAGTGGTGAGGCACAGGGAATTAGAGGGTATGTTGCCGGGATATTTTAGGAGGGATGGTATACACCTATCAGACGTGGGGAATGATTTGCTAAACCTGGGTTTTCAAGATGGTCTAGCACAGGCCCTGTTTAGATGTGGTGGGGGTCGCACATTCGCTTAAGGGGGTCAAGCCATGTGCTGTGGCGGAACAGGGCGTTGTAAATATTGGAATTTTGCGTGGAATTTGAACTGGACAGGCCAAGGTTTAGGCCGGATGGAGTTAAGGATTGGTTGGTTCTAGCTCTTCGGTGGCTACGAACCTGGGGGTGTAGGGGTGTCCGAGGTATACCCCTACAGTTAACCGGATGATATGGGGCCTCTTTAGTAGGCCGTGTGTTTCAAGTTATATGTTATTTGTTGTTATTTATTGTTCAACTGGTAGGGTCATTGTCAGGGGTACTGTGTGGGGGTATAGTAACATAATGTCTAGTAGGACAATGACCCTAAATTATGTTAATTTATTATAATTAATTAATAAAGCTGTGGACTTTGTACTCCAACAGAATTATCGGTGTCAGTGTCTTATTTAAGTGTAAGGGGGTAGCACATGCCGAATAACGACTGTGCAAATGTCATGTAGTTTACATGCTGTGAGAACATATCTAGACCTTGTTTTCAGTGTCAACTGTTGTCTCAGAATTATCTAGACAAAAGTGTGATTATGTGCCTGTGGAGCTATCAAGGTTTAGGACCACTAGGAGTTGATAAGATTAATCAAACTAAAATAAAGGACCAGTCAGATTAAATTAAGGAAACAATAATGAAAGCATCAAACATGTGTGAGTTTTTCCACCCTAGGTTAACCCCCCCTCCAGCAAGATGAAAGTCAATGGCTGTGTGCCATGAGACTTGCCTAGGTAATATAATGGCAGTAGAGGGACAAGAGCCTGGGAACTGCCATGGTAGTTGTAGTCCAGTTAAGTGGCAGAGCAATAGTCCCCAAGTGGTGTGCTTGCGATTCTGTCCAGCATCTGCCTCGGGTGGGAGATAGGCTCCTGTAGACACGTTGTTTTGCCAAGTGTGATATCGCAGCTGCGGGCTGTCGGTCTATGTGTCTCGGCATCTGCGCGTCAATCCGAAAGGGTCAGAGTGTGTGGCTATGTCACTGGAGCGTTGTCACTCTCTGCGAGTACACACTCTGTGGGTACCCTTGGTTGTGCTTGGGTGGTAGGTTGCAGTCGCCGACCTCCGCCGGTTGCTTGTAATGTCGCCTGCGTTGGTTCGACGTGGTTCCGGCATCTCTTCCGAAGTTTGGCTTGACCCGGGATGGGTCTTAGCAGGTACTTGCCGGTTTCCTTGTAGCCCATGCTGGCTTGCTGACAGTGTGAGGCGAGTGCATCCACCTTCCCTCCTACTTGGGAGGCTCGACATGCGGTATCCGCCATTTTGGTTGCAGCCTCTGCGTTTTGGGGCAGCTCTGCCACAGCCTGGAGTGCTGGTGTTTCTGCACGCTGGTAGGCCCAGGGTGGGGACCGGGATCACCTCCACAAGCCCGGGGGCGGGGGGCAGAACAGGGCCAGATCCACCTAACATCGTACTTCGCCAATACCACTGGTGGGCAGGATAGCAGGGCAGCGGCTGTCCACCCCACTCACCGCCCGGGCAGTCCCCATCGTGGATGACGGAGAGCGCCCCTTCAAGGGACTAGAACTTTGCAGCAAGCCTCTCCTCGGAACCAGGGTGGCTTCTTGCACTGGGTCACTGGTGCCAGTCGTCAGGTAAGTATAGAGTCTTTTTTTATGCTAAAACTGGGAAAGATTGCAGGAGCTGCACTATTGTGCGACCTTTCAGCATGGCGGTCCGGCCCTGCCACCAGCAAAACCAATTTTAAACAAATGATCCAAAAATATTATTTCACGATAAAATCACTGACAGAGACAATATGTCTTTATTTCTTTGCTGTTGAATGTCCTTGTGTGCATAAGTCTAATTTTGTAATGTGTTTATATGGATAGACTTTGCAGCATTGATAACATACTTGAAGCATGGCAGTAACATTCAAAGCCAGCTATAAGTGTGCAACCTGTGAGATTATTAGGCGATAGAGGACAGTAACAAGGAGTTACTACAGGCATGTAAATAACACTCAAAAATTTATTCCTGACACTATATATAAAAATAGCTATTTAGGTGACTGACTCCCTTACCTACTGTTAAAAAGGTGGTTACTCACCTTTATTCCAGTGCCACATGTTTCTCCTCGTGACTGACCCCCCCACATCCTCCACTCTGCCTCCTTGGCTGAGATCATCAAATTTGATGATCTCAGCTAATTCAACGGTTTCCAATAGGAAAGCATTAGGTGGCTTTTCAGCATCTCCTCATAAAGATACATTGAATCAATGCATCTCTATAAGGAGCATTCAGCCCAGGAAGCACCTCTAGTGGTGTTGTGTTACTAGTCAGTAATGTAAACACTCTAAAAGGAGAGGAAGGATTCGCCCAAAAATTTTAGTAAAATTTATTCCCAAAGGGAGATCGATACAGCAGAATAAAAACAACAGTAAAAAATGCTAAAAAGAACCAATAAAATATCCAAAGAAACATGCAAACTTGCAAGGAGAACAGTCAAATCTTGTAGAAAAGTCTCTTCTCTATGAAGGTGCAAGATCAGGAAATGCTTGAGATCCATTTCAATACACAAAAAAACAGATGAAATCCCACTTGTGTAGTACAGTGGTTCCCAACTCAGTCCTCAAGTACCCCCTAACAGTCCGGGATTTAAGGATTACTCAATTGCGTCTAAGGAGTTTTTGGGGAAAAAACAAAATACACTTTAGACACAACAGGGTTATCCCTAAATCCTGGACTGGTAGGGGGTACTTGAGGACTGGGTTTTGAACCCCTGTTGTAGTATATCACGAAAGTATATGGTACTAATAATTCATAGATCTTATGCAGTCTTACTCATGTTTTCTAGAGCTAGAACCAGCTGATGAATGGCATATAGTGGTATAATTCCCACTTATATGATACATGCAATGATGTAGTCAGCAGATATCATATCAGTATGTAGACCATAAAACCTGGAAAAAAATAAAACAACAACAATAGTGCACTCTGTGTAAACTGAACCAGGAGTAATAAAAAAATAATTTTTTACTCACATTTAATTGAGCAGGCAAACTGCTCAATAGATAAGGCGTGAATGGTATAATCTCCACCTGGGATTCTTTAGTGATGTCCTGGAACAGTGAACAAAGGTTTTGACACTAATTGTTCAAAAATTCTAATACCTAGTGACTTTCTGTTAGTATATTACATTTTGAAAAACAAAGAAGTGAGGAACCCCTGAGAAGGGGTGCCTTGCAAAGATGTGTGTCTGGGGCTAACCAAAAAAAGGGGGGTAACCCTCACATATACTTGTGTAGAAAAAAACAGAAAGGAAAGACCCACTGGGTCAAAGTAATAAAGCCCCTAGATAGAGTTACATGTATATAAAACGTAACTTTTAATAATAATTGTTAAAACATACACATAATTTAAAAGAAAAGAAAGGTCTGAAAAATTAGGGAGACCAGAGAGAGAGATTCAATGCAGGTTGTTAAGTAAAGGCAAAATCTCTAATTCTAAGGCCACATAAGTGGATCTCATGTAAAAATGGACAAGAAAGCCCTTCCTTGGCTAAACTCTTCCTTAGCGTTGCTGACTGTAATGTAAACAACTGATTCTATGGTTGCTTGAAAAACACTGACTGAATATAATACTGGGGTATAGCAACAAAGTGATACCTGTGAACATTGTATCAATGAAAAAAGGATGTCAGTATATCCAGATGAAAAAAATATACATAGTATCCCTCGATGCAAAATCACAGAGTGGAGGGCATGAAGCACCCCCTCCCCACGTAGGGAGTCTGTAAATGTAGATTCCCACCCACCCACTAGAATAGCCCAGATAGTGAGCTCAAAATGAAAAAGAGAGAAAAAATAAACCCTAGCCAGGTATCCTCGAGGTAGCTGTAAACTCCCTGATTCTATCGATGGTGAGAGATACAAATTAAGGAAGAGATCGCTGGTCTTACTGCCTACTATCTAAATCGCTGGTCTCCCTGCCTACTGCCTAACATATGTTTCGGCGCTATAAAACGCGCCTTCTTCCGAGGTTTAGCAGATCTCACACTGCACATGAGGCTGTTTAAATAGCCGTATGCCGCCAGTAGGAGAATGGGGGCGTGTGCTTGCTGCTCGCGCCAAAAGATTGAGCCCGAACAGGCCACGCCTCCAAGTCCACATGATGGCAGGTAATTGGATAGCGTCATGCATTTATGAACGTGCATGAAAAGGAGAGAGAGGGGGGTGTGTGTGCTTGCTTATGGCTCAATAAGCTGAGTCCAAGCAAACCACACCCCTTTAGTGTTACGTGGCAAAGAATTGGTTGAATGGACTGTAAGTAAACAAACAAGTCCACGTGGCACCTCGTCGGAGGAGCAAACATTCAAAGTGAAAGAAGGAAATGTGTGATTAAAGGGCAAGATGTATTGGCTTGTATAATACATTAATATGTAAATGATGAACCCTCCATCTTGTAATCTGTCTAATATCCCATAATATAGAGTTTATATTGTTTATGAATAAAAGAACCTTATAAAGCATATGGATATGTGGGTACAGAGAGGTAAATATAACCAACCTCTATTATCTGAGGCTAAGTTATAAAAATAACCATAGGTTCAAATATATCTAAATGTTGCTTGTACTGCAAACTGGTGACCTGGATCATATGTATCCCAAAATAGAAGTAAAAATAACAAGTCCTTTTATAGATAGCTATGATGGATATAATATGCACATTTCATTAAAGTTATCACTCAGGGTTGGCACCATACATAGATCACTTATAGGGGGAAAACGATGCCCATAACGGTGACCCTGGGTGGAGGGGAATGTGTAAGCCCTCACAAACCTATAACACACAGTTCCACATTAGCCACGTAACACATGTGCGTCCTAGTACTAATACGCCAAAAGCTAATTTTAAATCACAGCCTCTTATGTGTCAGAAAATAAAACATAATAAATTAATAAAAATATGTACATACAATCACTATACACATAACTAAACATATTAAAGTTACTCCTGGGTACTCTTATTTATCTATAAAGGGAGTGAATGTAAAGCCCTCATTTAGTCCATAGGGTGCCAGAGTTTTGAACCTATAAATCCAATAGCATTCCCTTTTGAGGAGGGTGAGATCAAGGTCACCTCCTCTACGTCCCAAGAGGGTCTTCTCAATCCCTGCAAACTTCAAACCACTTGAATCACCATGGTGACAGTTCCTCAATTGTCGTGACACTGAGGTATCCTTAAGATTTCTGACAGAGTGTACGTGTTCCATTACCCTCCTTTTGAGGGGACGAATAGTTTTTCCTACGTACTTTAATCCGCATGTGC